CTAAATTCTAGTAACTGATAACATGTAAAGACATAACAACATGACAGTGTGAGAACAGGAGTCTCATAAAACAAATTGTGCTAGCATAAAAATATTAGCGTATGTAATATCATACCATAACTCGAATTTCCTCCATCGTGATTGCGCGTATTTGGAGTTTGAAATACAAGCAAAAAGCGATACTATCTTGAAGACACAAACGACCGGTAATCGTAACAAAACTAAGCCCTCTTTCGTGGAATTCCCCGTTTTCTCTCTCGACGCCACGTTACTCAGGTTTGCCACAATTCCATGATAAAATAGAACTGCTAGAAAAGCATTCTTTGTTTGGTCAGAGAGAAACGTTTCTCTCTGGTTTGGTCAATTCGTAAAATTCTTTCTTCTGACTGATCAATCAAATGCTTCAAAGAATTGTAAAAAAGAGACTTTTGTAGACTTTTGACAGCATCTGAAGAATAGATAAAAATGAACATCACTTAAGCTAAGATTACACGATGCTCAATTCTCGAATGATTGGACGTGGTCAAATTGACAAAGCGGTTAGCTTGTTCGCCGAACAAATGAACATAATTGGTTGTTACTTATAGATCTAACCAATCATGTACAATCGTTTAAGCATGCCTAGCTGCTTTGCCGTTTTGAACTCGCTCATTGCTTGCTTTGATGCATGTAGTCCGATTTGACGCATGGCATATAATATTCTTTCCATGATTTGACAGATAATTACGAATTAGCACAATTTTCAATCGTCTACTCAATCACACGACTGTCTTTAATCTTTTAAAATAAGCGCTGTATAATAAAGGAGAGTGCGATCCATTTGACGCCACAAATGCTTCGAAGCTTTTGATTGATCAATTGAAAGAAAGAATTTTATTAATTGACTAATCAAAAAATGCTTCAAAGCCTTTTGTAGCATCAAGCGAACACATTAATATGAATATGTTTTTGTTGTCTAATCTTTAAGAGCATTTTAATTTTTTAGAGATAGACTTTAGATATCACTTATAATGATTACTTTATAAACGAATTTTTGAAAAACGTAAAATTTGTAATTTACTCTATATATTGGGTCATCTAAAAAGTATCCGCGGTTTTTTGTCACTAGATGGTGTTGACTATCAATACCATCTAGTGATAAAAAACCGCGGATACTTTTTAGATGACCCAATATAAGTAAATAAAAATGCCGTAACTTTCAAGAAATACTGAAATGGAATATCTACTAATTAAAAAAATTTTTCTTTTTTATTTTTGAAATGACTTTACAAAATTACAAATCTTTATAAAATTAACATAGTACGTATGTGTATATACTAATAATTGTTAATAGAACACTGAGAACAAAAAAGTTAAAAAAATTACATTTGTTTTTGTATGTGGAATTGTCAACTCATAAAGCATTTTAGACTTAAGTGATAATGCCAATAATTAATATTTCTGGTTCAATTAAAAGGATGTTTTTCCTTCGAAGTTTAACTGTTGTTTCAAAATTTTCTTAAAAGTAAAACTATGAATTATACATCATAGTAAAATTCACATTCATACAGTACAGTCCCTCCAAGGGACATTCTAAAGACCAGTGAACATTCCCATTCCTCTGAATGTCCTAAAAATATTCTCAAGTGTCTCTTGAATAAAGTGTACGGTATGGGCAGTAAATTCTGTTTTTAAAAAGTATACAAGAATGGAGCATCATTGATAAATTTTGTTATCAAGCAAAATAAAAGAATAAAAGTCCAAAGTTTTTAACAATTCAATGTTTATTTTGTTTTGTTACTTATAAATTTTTTTCTTATTAAAATTCGAAAAATATAAAATAATGATAAGTGACCGCAAGAACCGCCATCTAACGAGTTGAAAACGACGAGGACGGGACAGGGCACTCCAGAATAGCATATAAACTCGTCGCACCACTACTAATAACGGGTGACGCCAACGTCCGATACTCCATCGCTCCTCACTCCTGACTCCTGTGTGCCGTGCTTAGCACGGCTATTGCGCGCGCAATGAATCAGACCGCGCCAGTATCGTGTATTCCTGCAGGGAAGATGTCGAAGACGAAGAAGGTGCTGGATGAAGCTCGGGAAATCCAAAATCCCGAGCTAGACCTCGCGGACAAAGGCATTGCAACGTTCGAGGAGATGCCGGGATTGCGTGAGTCTCATCCAAGCGTTCTCGCGAGCGCGTCATCGCGAGATTGCCAAATTAGGCAACTTGTCGCTGGCCTGACTGGCCTCTCGCTCCGCGATCCACACTACGGCCATCTGCGCGGATCAGATCACGTGGGCGACTCCGCGTATGCGCGCGCGCTACTCGCCCGCCTTTTAAATTTGATACTTCGCGGTTAACGTAGAATAAAGCGATTAAAGATAATATAATTTAGATTGCGCGAACGCGAATTTTTAAACTTACTGTACTGAAATGTTAACATAAAAAGGATTCTTTTTCCGCTTTGAAATCATAAAAATTGAAATAAAAAAAATAAGCTTGCTTTTCTTTTATGAAATTATCGATAATATGTCATTCTGTTCTTTTTGACAGTCAATGAATAACAAAGATAGAACGATATTTGTGTCTGTCTCTTAAAATAGGAAAGCAGTTATATTATAATTTATTCGAAAGTATAATTTCGAAACGTTAAAGTATCTCTTAAAATTTGAATAGAATTTTTTCAATTTTTTTCAAATTACACATGCAAAAGAATATGTTTATATGTTTCTTAAAAATCTGAGGATGAAGTTACAAAATTCTATATAATTGTTGAATGATTATTTTTACATATATTTGTCAAATATTTATCTAATTTGATATTTGTATTTATAACTTTTACTTTAGATTTGTATTTGTAAAAAAAAAACTTTGAGGAAACGCTCCCTTTATATAAAGAGAACAAGTGAGAATCCATTATATATATATATATATATATATATATAAACATACACTATACCTATTTCACTTTAAATTCATAAAATATACATTATTTCAGCTATATAAAAAACGGACCTATAATTAATTGTGAATCAAAATCATCACTAAAATAAATTCTCGAAGTACATTACAAGTTGAAGATAAGTTTACAAAAGCCTTTGCATGTTTCAGTGAATATGATTAACGTAACGAGGCTGACGTTAAGTCACAATAAAATTCAAGGTGAGCGTATCTTCAAGCTTAACACAATTTGTATTGTCCGATAACTTAATCGTTGTATCGTAAAAATTGTTGTTTTCGGTATAGCGGTGCCACCGGGTCTCGCCAATCTAGTCAACCTGGAGATATTGAATCTCTTCAACAATCACATTACCGAACTACCTATATCTCTATCGCAAATGCCGAAGTTGAGGATCCTTAATGTAGGGTCAGTATCTATATTTTATAGGACGTGTCCTTATTTCACGATAATTTATCAGAGTATTTAATTTCTGGCAGAATGAACCGGTTAGACGTGCTTCCTCGCGGCTTTGGCGCGTTTCCGGTCCTCGAGGTGTTGGACTTAACGTATAACAATCTCAGTGAAAAGAACCTTCCCGGAAATTTCTTCATGATGGGTCAGTCACGGTTGTTAGATCGTCTAATACATCTCTTCGCAAAAGTCACATATTAATCTGTCTTTTTTTTAGAGACCCTAAGAGCGCTCTATCTCGCCGACAATGATTTCGAGTATCTGCCGCCTGAAATCGGCCAGTTGAAAAATCTTCAGATTGTAAGAGGATTTTAGAGCTTTCATAGTTTTACAGCTTTATAAGAAAATGTCCCGTTTTTTTCGTCGAGACTCTCTCGATTGAAACATTTCAGCTCGTATTAAGGGAGAATGATCTGATCGAATTACCGAAAGAGATCGGAGAGCTGATACGTCTCAGGGAACTGCATATTCAGGGAAATCGTTTAACGGTTTTGCCTCCCGAGATAGGTAGATAGAATACTGCAATATGTGCATGTAGTAGTATAATTAAGTAGAACATATATATTGCATAATTTGTATTACAGGGAACCTGGATCTAGTGAGTAACAAAGCTGTATTTCGAATGGAATTCAATCCGTGGGTTACACCGATCGGTGACCAGCTGCAAGTGGGCATATCTCATGTTATGGATTACATTCGCTCGGAAACATATCGATAGTAGGTGTTTATTAGGTCGCTTTATTAGATGCAATAATTATACATTGATTATATTTAGCAGAATGTTTCTTTCACAACTATTGGAAGTTTTCTTCTTTAAAATAGGATTATTCCTTTAAATCTAAAGTATAATCCGATTGAAAAGCGTTTATTAAGCACTTTGACTTTTACTGAACATAGTCATCGAATATTTCGAAGAATTTTTGAATTATTGTTTTATACGAATTTCCTCATAATTCTCGCACTTTTAACGCTTTAATTAGAATTTGGACTAACATTCTGCAATTGATCGAGAGAAGTCTTGAACAAGTATTTGTCTCTTTTCAGCGTTTACAATCGTCATCAAAGTGCCAAAGGTCCGCCACCTGATATTGAGAACGATAAAAGCAAGAAAATCTCACGTGCTCGTTGAGCTTGCGCTTTTCGTATGATTCTGACCAAATAATACTATCTTCTGCTTAATCTTTTGTACGGAGATTATTTTTACAAGCTATATACTGCCAATAATCGTTTATTTATGCTAATTAATGAGTTCAAGAATTAAATGGTGCCTTTTAGAAATAGGATTATAATGAGATAAGAGGCGTAATGCACATTAATAACATTGTTATACATTTATCTATTAATATAATATATATATATATATTATTTCTTAATTCAAAAAAATGTATGTATAAAAAAGATTTTACATTTAACTTTTTGTATTTTTTATTCTCGGTCCTCCAATGATAAAAATAAATTTTATATATCTAAAAGATTGAAAACTAATTTAATATTTTAATAATTAATTGAATTCTTTTTATGATTCAACGTCGATATTTTATTTAAAAATTCTATCTGAAAATTAAGACTTACTATATTTTTACATGTATTTGCCGTTTCCCTGGACAACGAGAAAGAAAATCGCAAAACAAATCATCTCGTCATTAATCCGTGTCATACATTTCCGGTGTCAATAACGCTCGTTTATCCCATCTATTGCAAACTAGCGAGTCTTCAAAATGGTAAATATCGAAAAATATAGCTTAATCATTTGCAGATTTAGCAATTCAAAAATTATCACGGTTTTCCGCATGATAAAATATCAAATGATTTAAGATCGATATGTGTTACCACCATTCGATACAATTACAAATGTTAGGAATCATAAATTCAAAATTAAAAAACATGAATTTATTAAATACTGAGGGATTTGTATATTTTAAAATGATAAAGGATGTAGATTTGCAATAAGATACACATTGATTAATCGAAACCAATAGCGCGAAGTGCTTTCGATCCATATCGGCCAAGGCGGCGTGCAGATGGGCAATGCTTGCTGGGAGCTTTATTGTTTGGAGCACGGCATACAACCTGATGGTATGTTGCCACCGCAAACCTGCACAAGCGATGAGGGCTTTCAGACTTTCTTCAGCGAAACAGGCGGTGGGAAATACGTACCTAGGGCAGTTTTCCTCGATCTTGAACCAACAGTAATAGGTAAGCTCGTTTTACAACAGTAATTAATAATGAGACAACATCAACATATCAATATAATTGCTTATCGTTGTCATCCTTTAGATGAGGTACGCACGGGAACGTACCACCAGTTATTCCATCCCGAGCAATTGATCTCTGGCAAGGAAGACGCCGCAAACAATTATGCGCGTGGCCACTACACCCTAGGCAAAGAGATCATCGACCTTGTATTAGATAGAATTCGCAAGATAGCCGATATGTGTAGTGGTCTCCAGGGTTTCCTCATCTTCCACGCGTTCGGCGGCGGCACTGGATCTGGCTTTACTAGTCTGCTGATGGACCGACTATCTATGGACTACGGCAAAAAGGCAAAATTAGAATTCGCCATATATCCGTCGCCACAAATTTCCACAGCAGTCGTTGAACCCTACAATGCAATCCTGACGACTCACACTACGCTGGAGAATTCCGATTGCGCATTCCTCGTAGACAATGAGGCAATCTATGATATTTGCAGGCGTAATCTGGACATCGAGCGACCAACTTACACAAATCTGAACCGGCTGATCGGTCAGATTGTCTCCTCGATCACGGCCTCTTTGAGGTTCGACGGTGCCCTCAATATCGATCTCACCGAATTTCAGACGAATCTCGTGCCCTATCCTAGGATACATTTTCCTCTGGTAACTTACGCGCCCATCGTGTCCATTGAGAAGGCTTATCATGAACAGCTTACCGTGATGGAGCTCACCTCAGCCTGCTTCGAGCCAGCCATGCAGATGGTTAAATGCGACCCGCGAAAGGGCAAGTACATGGCCTGCTGTTTGCTGTACAGAGGTGACGTGGTGCCAAAGGATGTCAATGCGTCCATCGCGACTATCAAAACTAAGAGAACGATACAGTTCGTCGACTGGTGTCCGACGGGTTTTAAGGTTTCTTTTCTAGCAATTTTTCTTCGTTACATTAGCGAAAATTTTGCAGTAATTTGTGAATTGTGATTTCTAAAAATTTTATCACGTGTGTTATAATCAATGTAAAAAACATTTCGGAATATACATTCCGATTTACTAGTTTAGCTATATCTGCAGATTTCTACTTTAGAATATTTTACACTGAGCTTTTGGCATCAATTCCGACATTTTATTGATTTGATTTGGATATAATAGGTAGGCATCAATTATCAACCACCAACTGTAGTACCGGGAGGTGATCTGGCGAAGGTGCAAAGAGCTATGGCTATGTTGGCGAACACCACAGCGATCGCAGAGGCGTGGGCCCGATTGGACCGAAAATTCGACCTTATGTTCAGCAAACGAGCCTTCGTTCATTGGTAAACTAATTTTGATTTCACGAAATTAGAGACTCGCATAGATTGTTCCTATTCGCGAATTGTAATACGTCAGGTACATCGGCGAAAACATGGACGAGAGTGAATTTAACGAAGCCAGAGAGGATCTGGCCGCGTTAGAGAAAGATTATCAAGAAGTCGGCGCGGATTCTCTGGATGTCGGCGAAGAAGAAATGTAACTACCTGTAAAAGACTCGCAGTGACAATCGCATGCATTAAGAACGCATGTACTTTTGTGGGATAGATGAATGTTTTTTTTTTGTTCAGTCACCGTTTTTATAGGATTTTTACATTGTTTTGTTATCCTTTTGTACATGTTTTGTATGTAATTGTTTTTGTTTTAGGTATATGAATTTTTGCGCATCTTTGTGATATAATAAAAAGAATCTGAACTCTCTTTAGTCCATTATATATATTCTTTGATCGGAAACTTAGGGGAACTTATTAAGTTTTTAATAGAAGATATTTAAAGGGAAATTTAGAGAGAAGGAAAATGAAAGACAGAACACCGCTCGTAGATATTATAGGCTTTTTATTGTGTGGAACAGCACATGGCTGCACGAATTATATTACATATGTATAAATTTCCGTCGACATCTTTACATTACGGTCGGAGAAAATCTCGCATAGCGCGTAAAACTTTTTTTATTTCCCCTTTTTCGAGTGTAGTAAAGTGTGGTTCAAAAACCGTAAACGTTTAGGGAATTTACTCTCGAAAAATATCGCGTTAGAAAATATTGAAAATCTATAATATACGTAATGTATACATATACATCATACTATTTTTGAATGCTTTCATATACGATATTTTTTGAGAATACGGTCCTTACACTTGTGCGTATTACTCTGATACATGAGAAATTTTAAAGAGAATAAGCAAAGAAAAAATAATAGTATTTCTCTTTCTTACAGACATAATAAGCTCTGTAAGTAATGCCGAATTAAATAGTCGTTAGTCGCATAATCATATAATTATAATAAAGGCGATAGTAAATCAAAGTAGAAACGTAAGAACGATGATCGAGGTGCTGCCAAGCTGACGACAGAATTAACACAACTAATTACGCTGATCACAACGATAACGATGATAATGATAAACATTCGTAATTATTATCAAGCGTCTTACCCTATCTTTCTTCACCTCTATCGTCACTACGTCAGCGACATTTTGGAATAGATCCTTATCTTGTCGTATCATATCAATAGAATAATAATAATCTATTGTTATATTCTTTTAATAGAATCTGGGATTGCGTCGTTCGTTGGCAGACGCGCGTAATAATTTGCATATTTTCGTATCTATAAAATATTCATTCTCCCTCTTCCGTTTATTTAGAGGAAAAAAAGAGAAAAGCTTTTTACCTTGTTTTTTTCATTATACTTTTTGGATTGGCAGATTAAGCCTGCCACTCACTGGACTAGAGATTTTCACTACCTTTATTGCGCATCTGTTATTATATATTCGAGGGGGAAGCATCTTCCTCTCCTCATTTTTTTCGTACTTGTTAAAAATTAACTCTTTAAAAGAGCCAGACACGTCGTCCCCTTTAGCTCGAAAATCGTTTTGTTGTTTCAAGTTTTCTCTAGATTGTGAAAAATTTATCTTCCTTTCTTAGAAAACCAAATCGTAAAATAAAACACTAACAATTCTCTATCGGTATATGAGGACAATTTCTTTCTCATTCATAACTGATCGAAGAATGTGGATTTACAAAGATATTCGTAAACTTTGCCTAGAATAATCTCTCTCCGAAATGTAAAACTTTACAAATGCAAGATGAGATTGAACACGCAAGACATTTTCTCAAAGATCAAAAGGAATTTCTGAGTTGTTCAAGAATCAATAGAATTAATATCATGTCGTGTTCTCATCTCTTTTCGCGTTCAAAGGATCAAATAATTAAATTTGAATAAATTCTTAATAATTCTATTATAAATTCCGTTGAATTAAAAAAGTATTTAAAAAAAGCTTTACTGTTCGCAATCGACTTTCAAGTCGATTGTACAGTGCTTCGCAACGTTTTGTAAAAACATGCATCTGTAGAATCGCTACGTGAAGGCCAAAAATCTTTTACTAATTGTCGTCAGGCATATAATCAATCCGCATATCAACGAAATCCGTGTTTAAAGCACGCTGAAAAATTCGAGCGTGACGTTATCAGCAAATATTGTTTATCTAGATTGAAGCGATTGTCATCGTCAGGATTTGCCTGTACGCGAATATCCGTTGGAGTATCACGAAGGCCGGGTAAAATAGGCGGGAAACGTTTAAGATCTTTGGTAAAAACCCGCCTGACACGATCGGCGAAAATTACGGACGCTCAAATATTATCATCCAAGGCGGAAATAATCGAGAAAGATGAACACTTGGATCTCGAGTCCATCACGCTCTCGTCGTGGTCGGGATATGAGACAACGAAGTCCTTTCGATCGCCCTAGAAAGGAGAGCCGGAGACGGATTAAGTTATCCAGATATCCTAGGCATCCAATCAGAAAGTTTGCGCTAAGTAATTATACGATCCGTTAAATAATAATGCTACGAGATAATGACTATGTTAATTCACCAATCATCACTATTATCGGCAAATCATAAAAATAATAGCGGTCGTGGCAAATGAAGCTACTCGCGAATAATTAAAGACAGTTACAATGAATTGAACAACTAATAATAATTAATAGTAGAGATAGAATATTAATAATAATAGTAATAATAAAATAAAAATTAAAGATTGGATTTACGGTAGTAAATAGTAATAGTAATAGTAGTAGTAGAATAGCAATAGTTTAGAGTGATAGTAGTAACTGGTAATGGTATAATGACGATTATGTCGCATGTGAAAATATCTAGAATCGATCTCTTTTTGTCGATAACACAATCACACAATTCGCAGTCATTCACGTTTCTCTCATTTACAAGTTAGCAGACAGAATATCGATATACAAGCAAATTTAACCAACATTACAGCCTTTTATCGCTCTCATTCTCTCTCTCACTCTCTCCCTCTCTTTCTCTCTTTCTATTGTTCGTATCCGGGGCAATTCATCTACGCGCTCTCGCTTGATCGACATAGGTGGCAGTGATCGCGATTTTTAAAGCACCGCTGCTTTCTTTGTGCATGGTCCACCCATTAATGTGTTAATTGACAACGACGCGATTACGCTAACACGACGCAAACTGCCTCAAATATTAACTGAGTTAAATATTCGATTCAGCGCAACTTTGCGCTTCGCAATCCCCAAGAAGATCCCATGGGAAAAATCTCGTTCCCCGGTTTATCTACTTGTTTTATTTGCTGAAACGTGCCTTGCGTTTTAATAGAAAAAGAGATACGGCAGTGTGAAGATGGCGAGTTCCGCTTCGATTTTGTGTTCGTTCGTTCCGGTAATCATGGAGGCGGCGGGCGAGAAGCGCGATGGCGATGAAGCGCGACGGATTCGACGCGGAAGGAAATCAAGACGACGGAAGCACGATGATGGACGCGGTGGCGGTGGCGACAACGGCGCTGAGAACCAGGTCCTTCGGTCACTCCCGAATTGTTCAAGAACGATAAATACGGATGACGTCGCGGATTGGCGCCCGGCAAAGCGGACAGTGACCGCCACCCTTGCCACGCCATTGTTGAATCGCACAAGTATAGCACATACACATGTGGCCGCACATGTAAAGCACGCTATCGATACTGCGCTCGTAGCAAATGGAGCACTCGCTCAGCGTCGGCTGCAGGCCCTCGCCCCATTGATGCAGATGAGACGAGGCCGCGCGTGACGATGTCAGAGTACCATCCAGGCTCTGGTAGGTCACCGGGTCGACGTACGTCGACGAGCCGGTACTGGCCATTGTTCCGGTCAACGGTGGCGAGGATTGCCTAGAGGATCCAGGATGTGGGACTGGCGCGGGAACAGCCGCCGTCGCTGCCGCCGAAAGATGCACCGGTTGTGTCGATGAATTCCTGTGCGTCGCGGAAGTATAAATCGGCTGTGGCGTGGGCGGCGGTGGCGTCGGGTAGCCGGCTTGGGGCGGTAGATTCACGACGAGTACTGTTCCGCCGCCCACCGCCGGTTTAAACTGCACCATCTCGGAAAATCTAGACAATTCCGTGGCGGCGTTGCTATGATTCGAAAGTTGCTGCTGTTGTTGTTGCTGCTGCTGCTGCTGTTGAATGGCAGGTGAGGGATTGCTCGGACGTTGCCGGGGCGGTGAAGTCGGTCTACTGGCCAACATTCTGACACGTTGAGTGCTTCCATAGGCATCCACGAATGCCCATAGTTGAAGGCTCTGATCGACGTGCATGACGACATTGGGCGCGCCACCATTCTTGCTCATCTGCACCTCACCGTAATGCGTGACCGTGAAGGCAATTTCGTCACCTGGTTGCGGACTCGATGCCACGTCTTTGGAGACCACCCAGTATTCAGGACGATCTAACAGCAGGTCGCTATCGTCCGGCAAATCCTCTGCCGTTAGCCGTGCCGGGTCGCACGAAGTCAGGCCTAGGGCTAAAGCACCAACATACATCGGTTCTGTAGAGAGAATCTGCACGACCAATCGCTCTCCCAATAACAACGGTCGACTCGTGAACGCATAGCCGTGACAGAACTCTGTGTCCGTACGCGTCGCTACGCACTGCTGATTGCTAAAGCAGATGTTCCTACCCCGAGTCCTGCGGAGAAAGACAATGAAGAAGCGATTAATCTCAGCGGAACTCGTTCACTTAATGATGGGCGTCTTGGGAAATCGTGAAAAGTGGACGGCAAATTAGTTCTGTGCGGCTGAACGGCGCACAGTGGTCACTTTCGTCCATCTGAGCGAGCGAAATTGTTTTATTTGGTAAAACGTGTTTGATGCTTGGAAAAATTGATGCTGAGAAAACCTCACGAAAGGATAGAAACTAATTTAAATGAATAGTTTGTAAATGTTTAAGAAAATGTTTGAAAAAAAATAACATAGAAAATAAAATTGATTAAAATTCTCATTGCGGTCGAAGAAATCACTTCTCTGCATCAAAAAGTTCAAAATTGCATCAATTTTTTTATTAATGTTTGGTTCATCCCGTCAAACGCAAAATAATGCTTCTCGTCGCATTTCACATGTCAAAGGTAAGACTAAGCACAAAATCTAAAGTTGCAAATAGTTGCAGCTAGATTTAATGTAAAACATTGGGATTAGGAAGTAATTTAATAACTCTATGCAAGTAACCTGATCAATTCTTACGTTTTCCGAGTTTTCTCCTTTACCAAGCTTCGCTTAAAATATAAAAAGAAATAGCAATTTTTAAAGCCTTTTTCTAAAGCCATAAACCTTTACTCACATTTAAAAAATTCTTATTAGTTTCAGATTATAAAGTGCTTACTTACTTATATTTGTAGGATCCACAGCAAGAACAAAAAGAAAAAGCTCTATTTAGCAAAAACTCATTTATTGAAATGAAGGCAAGCACGAGTCGCAATAAGTGCGAGTGCATCTTGTAGAATCGTTTATTACTAACGATTCTTCGCTCGATTTTTGAATAAATTATTTTTAGATTTCATACTTCCAAGTATTCAGACTTATTTTTATGTAATAAAAAAGTTTAAAACGTCCAATTGAATTTTTTACTTTCGCGCACTCAAATTCACAAAAGTGACCACTATGCGGCGCAGCGATTGTATTATATGTTTCCATTGTAAATCAATGACTTTCAACTTTCGCGTTAATCTCTCAAAAAAAAAAAAAAAAAATTATCGCGTCGAGTAATGTGAAACTTTGCTAATTTGATCAGACAACTTTAATCAGAAAGCGTAATATTGTGCAAGTGGCGTTTCGAAGCAGACAAGTTGATCCTAGATAATTCTCTCCGGATAATTCAATTACGATTTAAGTCAGCGAATACAAGAATCTTTTCCGCGACATGTATTAACTGAATCATGAATAAAACACGAGTGGATGATTTAACACGTTCGATATACTCACGAGTGGAAAGGCAGAGGCGTGAAAAGGACGCCAGGGGGTTGAAATCTGAGACCGGGTAGCTCCACGTCAGGTTCGTGATGAATCGACATGTTCTGCATAGACGGCACGATGATCCTTTCGACATCCCGACCAGCGTTACTGGCGTCGTCCATGGCCGAGTGCCTACTGTGCTGCGCATTGTCCTCGTTGCTGTGCTCGGCGCCTCTACGTATGTTGTTGAAGTGCTGGCGATTTGGATCGACAAATTCGATCGCGGTGCTGTTACCGTAGACGTCGATGATCGCCCAAAGCGGACCCCGAGTCTCGACACCGCTGAAGAAGAGACCCTTCTCCTCGCCATTGACACCAAAATGCACGTCACCAGCCGATGTAACGTAATAGAAGAGTACCGTATCTCTCTCCGCGAACCTCTCGGCGAGGGCTTTAGCCCAGTAACCTGGCTTATTTGTCAAATCTGGGCACGCGTACCTTGGCAAACCACTTCGGAGATTAATCGGGTCGTTGCTGGTGAAACCAAAACGAATCACGCCGCTCCAATTGTCGGAAATCTCCAGGAACTTCACGCAGACCTGCACAGTTTCACAGAAAAGCGACCATGTAGAACTTGTGATTTGTAAAAGGAAGAGAAAAAAAAAAAAAAAGAAGCCACCTTGCGAAACGGCGTTAGAGGTGCCGCTCGAGCGATCCTAAAATGGAGCTTTATTCGAGGCATCTTCGGGAATTAATTACGCTCGATTATGTTCATCCCACGTGTTACGTCATTATATATTTTACGACTAATCTTAGATACGCTACGAAATTGAAAACACGCTTAAAGACCCAAAACTACGCACGCCCACCTGTCTTATATCAGTAAATAGTCTTTGAATATTCGTGACAGATTGGAAGATCGGATGATTTCGTGAAAATTGTTTGTTTGTATCATTCAGCGCGGTTATACGATCTACTCGCATTACTTAACTGCAGATAGACACGCGATAAGTCTGTCGAACGCGGGCATCGCCGGAGGCGCTTGTAACTCTCAATCTGGACGATATGTAAAACAACGACCTACGCAAAAAAGTACATTACTTTCATAGTCGCGGCAGCGGTTTCCGTTTTAATATTCCGAGGAATGCGAACAGCGATTTCTCGAGCGTAACGAGAGTCGTCGATTTCCCACAATCGACACGGGCGCCAGTCAGCGCAGAATAAATCAATGATTTATTAAAAGCCATCGGGGAATCTCACCTTCTCGCCTACTCGCACCGGTCTGGCGCTAAAAGTAACACCCTTGCAAAAACTCTCGTGTCTTCGAGCGATCGTACCGCCATTGCACAGCCTGATGTTGTCACCGTGCACGTGGTGAAACGTCAATGGTGGCAAATTGTTGGTACCCGCGTTCGAAGATCTGGGAGCTGAAACAGAAAATGATAACGTCAATCATCAAACATCGTGTTCGATTATACATACACTTATATGTTTTTTTTTTGTATATTTCAAATCATTTAGTTCGTTTTGCAAGGTGCGTTGTTTCGTAATCGATATTAATATTGTTGGATTATGGATAAAAGAATGTGCAAAAATTATCTATACTCTTTTCAACGAGAGAATAATCTCGGTTTGCGTATAGCAGGCAATGTAACGCTATGAAAACCTATACAAAACGGGCGAGTTTTCATCCGAGGTCATTCTCTCAATGAACGGAATATATGTTTATTTATGCGTGTGACGTAAATAATATTCCTTTACATAAGACGCATAAATAAAAAGATTTTTATAGCTATTTATGGGCATTATATAAATAATATTTATCTAATAACACTTATGTATGTAAGTACAAATCACATATTTTCTTACAAGGTTGCAACGGTTATGAAAAATTGAAAAAAAATCTGTTTCAAAGTCTAATATTCTTCATTTTTTTCAAAGTACACTCGATATATTTAAAAAGTTAAAAAACTCTTGAAATATTCAATTTTTCAGAATACGCTTAAGAGAAGGTCGGATAGTATCGGACGAAGATTGTTTAAAATTTTGAACGCGAGTGGCAACATTTGATAAGCCAAGGAAAGTTTATTTTTACATGAGAACTGGTATTTCTTTATATTGAGAACAAACGCAGTGTTGTTTAGTGAGTTATTATATTTTGTTGTGCTTATTTATGCCGACACGAAGATTATTTGCAACCAAACACGTTATTTGTAAGTCGAATTTCATTTTTAGTTTGCCAAATAAAACAGCCTCTATTATTCTTTGAAATGTAGATTTAAAATCTTTTTTGTTTTAAAACTGCTTGTTTCATATGTTGTTTGTCATTCGGATGGTATCAGAATAAGATAACAGATGATAAAATAAAGGTTGGGTATGGTACAAGGATTCTTTATAATGCTACCACATGCGTCTAACATTTTAAATAATTTTGCTCGACCTTTCCCTATCAATCTACGCCAACAAAATTTTGAGACAGGCAAGTAGGAAGAAGAAAGCAGATAATAGTGATATCTATCAAATAACTAAATAACATATTCTTTTTTTAATTTATTTAATTTATTTTTTGTCCTATATCACTAATTTACAGAAAATGTAATAACACTTAAAAAATCTTGGCTATTTTTAGAAAAATATAATTGCGAAGATGTTTAGATATAATGTTCCATATTACGTATATTACACTTTATTATGTATATTACGTTTAATTTTTGTCCAACTATTGAATCCATCCAATTCATTATGTGTTATTAAAGTTGCAAAAAAAAAAAGCTAAAACAATAACTGCACGACACTCTATAAAAGTTTCCCATATTGAAGGAAAGGGGTTTTAGCCCATATTTTCTGTCTACTTTATTCAATAAAGATTGACGTACTTTCATCACTTTGAATATTTTTCATAAAAAGATGTTTTAAAGAAAAAAAAATGATATTACTGCCTAACTATGAAAATAAATAAAAAAGTATTTAAATTTTAAACTTCTGAGGCTGTTGACAGTATCGCTTTAATAAAGATACTATCAAATATGCGAAGAACTTATCTTTTTTTTTTTTTTTCGAGATTTTGTTTCTAAGAAATAAAAGATGTAAGATACCCGACCTTCTGTTATTAACTCCTGGAATTTCTATCTTAGACAGAAATAAAATACGCGACATTTAATTTATATTTATACGAGGATGATTATCTTTTTTCTATTGGATATAAGCTTATGAACATCTTATTAGCTTATTGCATCCTTCAAGGATCGCCTCGACCTTTCGACCGATTGTTTCATAGGCGTGTAGGCGTTGGCTACAAAGTCGATGGATTTCTCTTTTTCTTAAAGCGCAATCGAAGGACTCGATGTAACGTTTATCAGAAGAACTAGGCTGTGGACATTTCTGGCGTGGCAGGGAAATTCACTTGAGGTAAGGCTATTTCGGAGAGAACAAAGAAGCTTTTCAGCGCAGCGTAAAGAAAAAGAAGAAGAAATTTGATCGGGGAACTCGAATGCAAAAGCACCTCTCATCAGGGCCTGTCGAGCATTTCCACTTCGGTATTTCATAATGCAGGCTCGCAGATCTGGAATGCGGAGATGCCAGGATGTTTCCAGACGATCGGTGAGAATGGAATCGCGTTAGCTGATATCAGTGTAGGAAAATCCTCGAAGAATTTTTGTCGAGATAATCAGGTAATCATTTCATAATTCATGCGAAGATGATCTTTGATAAAAGAAAAGACGTCGAATACATGAAAAGAATGATTTTGCTGAAAGATCTAAAATTTTACTGGATACAGATTTAAAAATAACTTTGTTGATTATCGAAATAATTTTGTTGAAAAAAAAAAACTGATAAGATTATCAAAAATGTTTTGCAGCATTGCTCTTATTATTTTTTAGTTTTCAAAATAATTATTTTGATGGTCTACAACAAAATTATTTTCAAATCTGTATCCAGCAAAATTTTATATGTTTCAAAATCTTTCCATGTATCGTTTTACCATTATTATAATTTTTCACAAACATTTTGATCGATCACTCATACGCAAATAACACACGATACACAATCGATAGTATTTATTAACAAATTTAATGAATTTTGAAAGAATCTTGACAGCTCGAAAGTTTCGCGTCTTTGTTCTCGGTTTGAAAGTAAACCGGGAGTGCCACGGCGAATCGACCGGCGCTCGCGAGAGCCTCGTTCTTACTGACTATGGTAACTATCGATATGCCAAGGCGCGTAGCCGATATTGTACGTGCGCCGGAAACCGCACGTTGCGCACCGGAAGCGGCCTCCAAGAACGGACGCCAAGTATCGAGGTACACCAGGACGATCCGCTTTCTCTGCAAAACGGATGGCAACCCGGAAACCGCCGTTACAATATACGAGAGAGGGAGTTGATTTACACCTTGGCGACTTCATTCGCGAACATGTAGTGCTTCCTCTGTGAAAGAAATAAAAATGCGGAAGAGAAACAATGTACGATTTTATTTACTCCGAAATACCGGTAAGTCAATAAAAATGTATCTACTGTGTTAATCAATGATAGAAGAAACGTTTCACTCTCGAAAGAACTAAAACTCTAATAAGCTAGAATCGCAAAGAGAATAAATTAAAGAAATCATTAAATTGCATTATTTTGATTTAATTGAATTTAAAAAATTAAAACTTGATCCATTTACCGTTTCTTTTTCTTGTGCCACACTAAAAAAAAATTTACATCTTAATAAATATTTTTTTGAATATTTATGAGCAAACATTTACTTACAGTACATAAATATTTACTCAATGAAAAAAATTATAGTTAAATCAAATTAATGATTCTTGTATCAAATAAATATACCTACGAATATTCAATGAAATATTTATTTATTTATAAATACAGTAAATTTTTTTTCAGTGCATACCGAACGTTGATGTCATATTCGCGATGACCACTTTTTGGACGGCAACACTATCGATAATAACAGTTTGAACCACTGCATGAAGATTTTTCAGCCAAAAAAAAATAAAAATAAAAATAAATAAAAAATAAAATCTTGTCCCAGGGTCTGCTACTAATCTTTACCTGCATGATAAGGATGGAGTCGATAATTTCTCAGGCTACAAATAGACAAATTTTCGAATCTTAACCGACCTGAAGGTTTCCTATTTCTTTCTTACCGTTTATTTTGTTATCTTCTTTTATTTATCATACTTTCCTAAAAATATACGCTATCTATTCTTAAAAACATCCAGTCCATTGTTAGAAAACTGTCACGGAAGTGCGCTCGATAAGCGCAATAATTTGTTAATGATTCGAGTGGTAACGGTCGTCGTTGTCGAGATTGACTAAATAAATGCGATTTGCAGGTAAAAAAAGTAGTACCAATAAAAAATCACGGACCGTTCGGTTTCTCACGCTCTCGATAAGGTGCTCGTATTAGGAAACACGTTTGCGCTAATTGTAAATTCTAATTTCTTCTCTCCTTTCGCAATCGGGGGAGGGGGGGAGGGGGGGGAGAGAAAGACACGGAACAGACATGATTTTTCCTCTCTCTCGCTCGGCGAGACCGTTATTACACGGTGAAATTATGTAAAAAGTAAATGCGTGAGGTTTCCAGGATTTTACAAGAGTCAGGTCATTGCGCTGAGGTCACAATGTACGACTGCGAACAGGACGATTGCGTGTTCCGTCACAATTTTAAATCACGTCTTCCGTTCTGCTTGTTTTCTCGCGTAGTTTTCGGCTGGTCACCCGAAAGGAGCTGTTCACTGTGAGGCAACATTGCGAAATTCAGGATTGCCCAAATATAGTCATTCCTGGAAGTCGCGGATCGTCCTGTTAATTTGCGGTCACAAGTTTTATTTTGCCGCAAGTTTTATTATGTCATAGGCTAATAAAAAAAAGGATAACATAAGTCGAGCGATAATGAAGCGCTATTCATTTGAATATTATTATCTTATTTCTTGAATCTATTTCTCTGAAACTCGATTACGCAACGAGGAAACAGATAGATGTCCATTCATTTTTATGTAACGCGGAAAGAACGATTTTGTTGAGACATTTAAAAATTTAGTTAGATACAGAAAATAATTTTGTTAGCACCACCAAAATAATTAAGTATTAGAAATCTTAAATATGATTAGCAATACTGCAAACAATTTTGATATTCCAGCAACCAGTTTAAGTTGCTGTTCTACATAATTATTATATTTTAATAGCCCAAAATTATTATCAGATCTACATCTAAATTATCTAGCTAAATTTTTGGATACTTCAGTAAAACCATTCTTTCCGTGAAGCTATGAAAAGTTTTGACTAATCTTTCTTTCACTATTACATTTAAGGCTCAACTTAGACATGACAATTGTAACATTTGCAGGATTGTAATCGTTGGTCGAGACCGAGCAATGAAGAATAGATGGAAAATCGGGTGGTCCCGAAAAGACACGTCTATGATTT